TTCCCAATTTCCTTAAATTAATTACTCAAATCAATTTAGCAATTCAACTAGGGTTTTCTTTTCCCAAGATTTTCAAAGTGTCCCCAACCTATCAAATACCAAACTTAGAACAAAACGTATAAATTGGAGTAGGAAAATCCCTACCTCGAAGAAAATAACCCGTATGGAGAAGATGGAGATGAAGACCAAAGACCAACGTGCTCCAAATCCCAAGTTTCTCAGATTAAAACGAAGCCCTCAACTCACTCTAACTTTTTAATAAAGGATCTAAGGTAGAAACTCACTCTAAGTAGATCAATCGAAAGAGAGAAGGTGTGTAGAGGGAGAGGGAGAGATAAAAACACTCCAGGGGCGGTTTTTAAAAAGTTATGAAGGAAAAGTAGGTCAAAAAGTGATCCAAAAAGTGAAAAACTCCACTTCGGCACATTTTGTGGGGCAAATTGCCTAGTGACGATCCCCAACTCGGTGGTGAATTTATTAGACCATGGTCCCAATGGATTCCCAGTAATCCTACAAATTTCAACATCCAATCGCTTCCCTTGACTTTTTATCTTGAGTAATGCAAGGCTTCGTGACTTCCCACGTCCTTTCTTACGCTCTGTTGTATCTATTAAAAACAACATATAGAAAAAACATATCAATGTCTAACATATGCATTGGATGAAAAGAATAAACAACCAACCAAAAAAGAATATAAAACTAAAATATTTACAAACCTACCAGCAATACAACAATCCGTGCTAGAAGTATCACTAGTGGTGTTTGGCTTATCAATGTTCTCTAGGCTTCCTAAGAGACATTTATTGGAGCTTTTAGGAAGAATACTGGCAGATGGTGGCATGCAATGCCATCTCTAAAATTGGTAGTTCAATTTCTAAGTGTTGTAAGTGCCTTGGGGGTTGCTATGGGGCAAAAATTTGACGGAATCATTTGTTCAGTAGCAGAATCTGTTGGCCTTTTTGTGCAACAGTTTACCAGTAGCAGAAGAGAGGGCTACCGTACATACATGAGTCTTCTAGTTCCTACGGAAACTCTTTCTTACCAATCAAGTAGTACAAGAAGAGCTGTATCTTATCTTATAGCCTGGTCCGGTGGGTTGCCTTTTGAATTCAATATATTGAAGAAACTATTAGATAGATAAGGAGTAGGTGAGTCCTCACTGACCTAAGTGATTTGGATTACCTAGCAGGCCTTTTATTTGGTAGGTAACGTTGCCAAAAAAATCACACTTTTTCTTTATGATTTTTTTTATAAGAAAATATTCATTACATACTAAGTAACAGAATGAAAAAGATTGGTGCACAAAGGGAGATATATGTACATGTATGTATGTTATAGTAATTGGAAAATTTAGCAGTCTCTGCCTATATATTTTGATTATTAGATAGCCAACAGTTATATAACTTAAGAAATAATATACTAAAGAGCACCAAAGAGGAGGCAAATAAAATCATCAAAAAACAACAGGTGTGTTATTCCTGATCATTGAATAATTGTTAAAGTAGTTTCATCAAAAAACAACAACCTGTTGATCCTTTTATTTATTTATTTATTTTGATAGATCTCAGCCTTAATTTCTTAATTGGTTGTAGAATCAGAAAGCGAAAATTCAAAAAAATGGCAAGAAATCAAGCACAATTTACCTTCAACCTTGCTAATCGCAGCTTTAATACTGCCAAATCCACCTATCATACCCAAACAAAATTCTTTGGTCAGTCCATGGACAAGTATCAAGTCTATCGAGAAGAACAAACACCTAACAATAACTGATATCATGCATCAACATGTATGACATAAAACACAGATCGATTACGATAAGAAATTGAAAGTTCAATCTATGTAAAACACAGATCGATTACGATAAGAAATTGAAAGTTCGAATTGGAGCTCTTACAGGTCGATTATGGAGATCAATTACGGAGAGAGAGAGACACACACACACACACCCCAAAATTTGAGGAAGATTGAGCTCCCAATCTGCCTTGGAGCTCCCGACTTTAGGGCTGAAGATTGAGCAAACTGAGGTGCGAGAGATTGAAGATTGACAATTGAAGATTGAGCTCAATCTTCAATTGTTAATTGAAAAACGACTATTAATCTTCAAATGTGGAGCTCAATCTGCCTTGGAGCTCTTACAGGTATGAAGATCGATTACGGAGGGAGGGAGAGAGAGAGAGAGAGAGAGAATGAGCAAGTTAGGGCTGAAGTGAAGAACGAGGGCCCGACTTTTCAATTGTTAAAATGATGAAAATAATTGGTCTCAAATTGTTTTTAATTGATAATGGAGAAAATATTTGGTCCCTAAATGTTAATAATATATTAGCAACCAAATTTATTAGTCTAAAAAAATTCTGTAAGTATATTAGTAACCAAATTTATTAGTCTAAAAAAATTTTCTCCGTAGCTGAATTTTTATTTTATTTTTTTAAAAATTGACTAAAGTGATTTAATATTTTAGATTAGACTAAATAATTTTAAAATATAGATTTTTTTGTAAGAAGTTCAAAATAAAAAACAATTTCTATTAGTTTTTTTACACACATATATATAATTTGACTTATTTTTGTCTTGGGTGAATTTTTTAAAATTAATTCAATTTTTTTTTGAACTTTTAAAATTGCCTTAGAATTTTTAAAAAGACAAAAAAAAAAATTGAAATTTTAATTTTAATTTTATCAAATCAACATGCTTCAAAAGTTCAGTAAAATGAATGAAATTTTATATTTTTATTGTGCCTATGAAATTTTATATTTTTATGCCTATGAAATTTTATATTTTTCCTTGTGAGGAATTGTGTTCTTATTTGTAGATTGTGGCCTTTAATTAGTGTCATGAAATCCTTGCCCTATTTTTGTTTTCTAGTCAGGCGCTCATGAAAAGCGTACTGTGGAAAAACCCAGAACTTTGACCGAGTGTATTTCCTGTTCTTTATTCTTTGTTTTACACTTTCTGAAAATGTTTTACGTAGGAGAAGCATTATTATAAGCATATGAATGATTTTCCATTGCCTTAGATAATCTAAATGTTTCCTAGTTCGTTAAATAAGACTCAGCTATTTGTGGTTGTTATGGCTAATATATTGCCATTCATAGTCATCGGCATGGGCCTTTTCTAGTAAGTTTCACTAATAATTTTAAATCCCTGTAGTGTATCTTCCAAAATTCTAAGCCAAGAGGTGTTTAAGGTACTTATTGGTTTTATATTTCAATTGGATTAACTTTTGGAAGGTATATATATGAATTAAGAAATAAACATATATTTGCTATGCTATTGTTTGTCTGCAAAGAAAAAGCTGAAAATAATATTTGGTAGATTGCGATCCAAAAATGATACCGTGCTGCAAATAGGGAAGCATGACTGTGTTTGTAACCATCATGGTAACTGTAAGGATAGTAGTCATGGGTCCTTGATGGTCGCTGTGGTTCTAGATATGATGGGTGTGCCAATAGTGAAGTGCCTGTGGTAGTATGGGATACAGTGGTAATAATGATGTAATGTTTTGTATTGCAAATGGCATCAATAGATGTGTCATGGTCATCCTAGTAATGGTAGTTTTTATTTAGATTGACATGTATGGTGGTGATCAACCATTTTAGGTACTGGCAGTGGTGTTGGGCCATCGATGGTAATGAGGAAAAAATCAGGGTTAGGCCATTGATGGTGGTGGTAATAGAACTATTTGTTTCAACTAAATGCAATTTTTTGTAATTTTGCTTCCAAAAAATTTAGCTCCCAAAAAATTTAGCTCTTAATTCCAATGCCAAATATGAGTTTTTCTTGTTGTTCTATTCTTTTTACAAAATCTATTGTTTTTTTAAAAAGCTATCCAAAAGCTGATATATAATTGTGATCATTTGCAATTATATTCTTGTTTAGACATTTGCTTGTGCATTTGTGTATGCTTTATAATTATGGAGGATGAAATTGGCTGGAAGTATGATGAATGCATTTTTCGAAGGACTCATATTGGCTGACAAAAGTGGACTTAACCCCGAAACTCTTCTTGATGTGTTGGTGAGACAAAAAACTAAAATCTTTTTATTCAGATTTCTGTAAATTTTGAGCCGACTCTTGATGTCTTGCTTGCTTTCTGGTAGGACCTGGGTGCAATTGCTAATCCAATGTTTAAGATGAAAGGACCCACTATGAACCAAAAGAGCTACTCTCTTGCATTTCCTCTGAAACATCAGCAGAAGGACATGAGGTTGGCTGCTTCCCTCAGTGATGAAAATGTAGTATCAATCCCAATGGCAGCTGCTGCCAATGAGGTAAGGCCATTTGTTTGCTTCTTTGTTACCTTTATCTGAACTTAATGCTCACTGTGAGCAGCATGTGTTTAGTGGTCTTAACAATGAGCTGAATATACAACTGAAGACATGTTATTATCTATCCTTATAGTTTAGCCAGAAAAGTTCATTGGTGTAGAACCAGTAAACGAGAACCACTCTAGGGTTTTATATTTATCTCTTAATCAATGTTATATATGAGAAATCACCAAGGAGCTGAAAAGTTTGGTGAAATAAAAATGTTATATATAACAGCCCTTACAGAAAAATACTGGATTTTTTTTTAAAGAAATTTTTTTTGGTTATTTAAAAATAAAATTAAAATTGAAAAAGGAATTCTAGAATGTATGCTAAAATGACAATAACATTGGCCACAAGTAGATATCAGTACATTGTATTTGACAACAATGTTTCAAACAATTTGTGAAAGTTATGTGAGAAAGATAATGGGTAAGTGAATCATGATTTTTGGCCTATTGATTGAGTAGCACCACTATGTAGTTTGAGGTTGTGGTTCAACTTCTATGGAGAAGAGTTCAACTGGGTCATATGTAGTTTTTCTTATAATTGTAATTGAGTTTGGAGATTGTTGGGCTTTTAAACTTCAAATGGATGTGTATTAAATTAACAAAAAAAAAAATAATAAATTTTGTTTTCTCTAATTTCCTTGTTCAACTGTTATTGGAAATTTGGAATTTAGTTATGATCTCATAGTGCCCAATATGTGGAGTGGAGATTCTGAATCTGCTTTTAGTGCTGGGGGACGGAGTTCTAGATCAATATTGAAGCTCTTTGAAACTGGAAACAGTGCAAGCTCTAATTTGTGAAGGGGATTAGCTACATTCTAATTTTGGAGTGAATAAACCATTGGAGGTATGTGCAATTTACTAGTCTATGTCTACCTATGCTTTTCAATTTGATGCAATTATATCAATCTTAGTTCTCAGAATTCAGAGCGCCCAGATCTTGGAAATGCATGTGTAGTGATCACTGGGGGGCAAGCATTGAAAAGCGCTGAGAATTTTAAGATGATAGAGAAGCTTGCTGAGAAACTTGGTGCTGCAGGTTTTTCTCTATAATATTATGTCCCTAGATTTCTTAATTTTCTCTCTTTTTTTTTCATTGATAATTTTTTGTTTTCTAGGAAAGTTATCCCCAATTGTTGACATATTTTCAATTTTTTTTTTTTTTGAAACTCTAAATACTATTGTGACTCACGATAATTTTCATTCAGGATGCTCTAGCATGGTTTTAATTTCTTAACCTTCCTTCTTTCGTGTCACTATTAAATTTTGTTTTTGGTATTGTAGTTATAGTATTATATAATTTTGACTAATTCCTATCTTTTTCACAGCTGGGGCCACTCGTGCGGCTGTTGATGCAGGATTTGTTCCTAATGACCTCTAGGTAACAACTATTATGGTTTTTTTTTTTTTCTTTCTAAATTTAAATGATTCATATGACTTTGGTGTTACTCTACAATATTCTTCTCAAATGAATTGGATATCTTACGAAAAGCTAGACCAAATTTGACTGATGACATGCAAAATTGTTAGGTTTGTAGATTTGTGATTTATTCCCTGTTTAATCGAAACATTTCATTCAAGACTAACAATCAGATTCTGATTGTTTTCAATTTGTGTCCATTGAACTGTACAGACACAACTCGTCTATGCATATCGTTCTTGGCCATCTAGCAAGGTTTAGTGGGGGGGGAAGCCAACTATTTTCTGATATGGGGAATCCTTTCAAGGAGGACTTTTATTCTGCTAAGCCTTTAGAATTTAGACTAGGAGGATTCTTTTATTATTATTTTATTTGTGCTCTGTGTGTGTGGATTTGCAGGTAATACAATATGTATATATATATATATATATTTATTCTCTCTCTCTCTCTTTCTCTCTCTGTGGGTTATCTCTAAAGAGAGACCAAGGAAAGTAGCAGCCATAGTAGTTTTCTCTCTGGGCCTTCTTCAACGACTCAAAAATGTCTTGACGGGAGGCTCGAGAATCTAACTCCAAATGCCACTATTCCAAGTTCGACCGTGAACCCAGTCCTAAGAGATCAAGAAGGGATGGAAAACTAGCCACTGAGAGGCCGTCTAGCAACCTTAATTTGGATGATTGGTGACCATTCAGACCGGGATCAGAAGCATCACCGACGGCTGCAAGATGCTTTACCTCTTGAGGCCTGCTAGCACCAGATTCTAAGGTAGAAACTGGGGCAGGGAACAAAGAAATTGACAAGAAAACCAACGGACAGCATGAAGGAACCAAAAATTCTTCCAATCTTACTAAAGCACCTTGGTGTCGATCGTATTTCCAGATTTGATCATTCCACCATGAATCTCGTGACAAAATCTTTCTGGGTTTTGCTATCCTCTGTTCTTCATTTCTACACACTCTGTTTTTCATACCCAACTCCATTGAACTGTACAGACACAACTCGTCTATGCATATCGTTCTTGGCCATCTAGCAAGGTTTAGTGGGGGGGGAAGCCAACTATTTTCTGATATGGGGAATCCTTTCAAGGAGGACTTTTATTCTGCTAAGCCTTTAGAATTTAGACTAGGAGGATTCTTTTATTATTATTTTATTTGTGCTCTGTGTGTGTGGATTTACAGGTAATACAATATGTATATATATATATATTTTTGTTCTCTCTCTCTCTCTCTCTGGGTTATCTCTAAAGAGAGACCAAGGAAAGTAGCAGCCATAGTAGTTTTCTCTCTGAGCCTTCTTCAACGACTCAAAAATGTCTCAACCAGAGGCTCAAGAATCTGACTCCAAACGCCACTGTTCCAAGTTCGACCGTGAACCCAGTCCTAAGAGATCAAGAAGGGATGGAAAACTAGCCACTGAGAGGCCGTCTAGCAACCTTAATTTGGATGATTGGTGACCATTCAGACCGGGATCAGAAGCATCACCGACGGCTGCAAGATGCTTTACCTCTTGAGG